TAAAACTTCCAAAATCGCTAGCATCGAACTTTTATAATTTAACTCGCATGTGTACGGCAGTGAGTTTTTTTTAAAGAACGGCCCAATTGGGCCGCCGCTTTTCCTGAAGTGGGATCCAGCCTGAAAGGCCAAAATATCCAGGACCTAAAACATTCGATAATTATGTTTTCTCGTAAGTAGTTAACATCGTTGCTGAACTTGCATAATTAATTTTTGTAGTAGAAGTTAGGATAATTAAATTATGATAACAGCACGTTAAAAGTCGCGTCACTTCACAATTGTGTCAATGATGCTTGCAACCATGTGATCAGAACTTTTGTTTGAGGGCTCAGGACCTTGCTTTGAAAAAAACTGTATAAAGCAGTAATTCTCAAACGGGGGGGGGGGGGGGGGGGGGCGCAGGCAATTTTTTGAAGGGGAGAAAAGTTAATTTTATTTGTTGGATTTGATCTTGCTCACCTTATTTCGGACTTTTACGTTCCACCCGCGTATTTTCAACGTGTTTTCTGTATAAAACATTCTTCCGCCTTACTATCTGTTATTTGTAGCTTATTTTTACATAGTTATTTTTGACGTAGGGCGCGAGACTTGACAAATTCTAAAAAGGATCGAGGCTTTAAAAGTTTGAGAACCACTTGTATAAAGAGTAATGAAAGATATACTTAATTGTCGCGTGATGATAATCACGTTTTATATGGAATTATGTATCATTCTATCGCGGTTAAATTTTCATTTCAAATTTATTGAGTCTGAGAAGATTACAATACATTGGATAGATCTCCGAAGTGGAATGACAGTATCCCATCTAAGCACAATGATTTCGAGCACCAATATAGCAGCTTGTCATGAGAATGTTTGCAATGAAGGTGCGGACGTGAAAGAATGTAAACATGTCATAAAGCAAAAAATATCTGCGACCACACGAAGCGAGAGGGAGGAGTACATGGCAATAAAAATGAAATTCCGAAATGACTCACAGAATGGCAAATAAAAACAAATTGTATTATTATTACTTAATCACACCTCAGTTATTTTGTTGGCGTTTCATCAAATCAAAAAATCTGAAAAACAAAACAAGAATCTCTCAATTCTACTTATTTTACTTCGAAATACATTTGGCCTAGCGCTAGCAGATGGCAAGGCCTTGATTCTCATTCAACCATACCAATTCAACAAGATTTCCAAGTGCTCGAGACGACAATATATTTTTATTGTGGCCGCTTGGGAGGCAGTATCAGACACTATAATCATCAACCTGCATTCGTGCGGAAAAGCATGATTGGATTTTGACTGAAATATTTGCTGTGGAAATATTTAGATTCAAATTAGTAATAGCATATTAAACAATACAGGATTTTTATATAAGATTACATTTATCTCAATCTTTATTTACAGAAACAACAAACATTAGCCATATATGTAGTCATGTAAATAAGCAAAATGCTTTCATGAAGTTCATTGCTAACAAATTTCGAAGGTTACTAAAAATAATGAATTTATTTCATAAAACTACAAAAACTCGATGCTAATTCTATATTCCCTTTTCCTAGATTTTGTCATTTGTCTTGTTGTTCGTGAGACGTGTTAGAGTAAACATTGAAAAATATGCATTAGGCAAATTAGATTCTAATGAGAAAAAAATAAAATTGATCTCGAAATAAAATATAAAAATAACTTTCGGTGAATCGAGTTGAATATTATATAAATTGGATGAAGGGGCCTAACAGAACAACAATAATCGTTCAAATCCTGGAAAGATGGATTTACGAGAAATTATTCAACTTTTATCTCAATTATGGTAAAAAATTGGATGAATCATCAGTAACAATTGAATTGGCAAATTTGAAGAATTGAAGATTTCCACTCAAAAAAAAAAATTAATTCGAAATTTTACAACGTGTGCACCTATGCGCGCGACTCTCTCACTCTAATCTCACGCCAGGGCTCTCCTAATTAGGGGTTTCCATCCCAGGTGGGTCACAAAAGGGCTCAATTTGGGTAGCGGTAAAATCTTTTTCAATATCAATTTATGTAAAAACAAAATATTGACCAAATTTGGAAAAATTGGAACCAGTACTGAGACTCACCATCACCGAAATAGAGCCAGTTTTGTGCGAAAATATGCAAGCACGTCGGTGTTTTGATATTTTCTGTATTATATATTAAATTTTTATTTATTTATTTTCATTTTGGTTCGTGAAGGTCGCGAAAAAATTTGGTTGTGTCTATCGGGTCGTGATGAAAAAATTTGAAGAACACAAGTTCCTCGCTTGTGAACACAACAGGCGAGACATCTTTAAACGTAGTTCATACAATTTGATTTGTACTGGGGTCGTCGCTGCGATATCAAGCCCGTTCATTGCATTGAGCTGAATGCCTCTATAATTGTTGAGAGCCGGAGTACATCAAAAACTGTGACTTACTTTATTTTTAAATCAATAGAGACCATTTGGTAATCACAGAACTGCTTCGCGTCCGCCAACCCATCCTGCACGAAGACCATTGATTAACGTTTGAAACGTACGAATTAGTTCTATGCAATAAGCAATTGGCTTCGTAAAATGGACTACCGAAATGGCTGGTATCAACTTTCAAAATTCGACTCGTTTGTTTGATAAAGTACTTTTTACGGCGCTCCAGAAGTGTGTGTACCAATACGGAGGTAACTAATTTTGTTCGCCTAATTTACATCAAGTTGTGTAAAGTGACTGAAACCTATGGGCAGGGGTATATTCACTTGGCTAACACAGACAGTCCCCGAATTTGTGATAGAACTAAAATAAGGAAAATCGGAATACAATTATGCCCTAACTCTAAACTGGTACACACACTACGGAAGTACCTTTGTTAAACAGAAATTTAAAACCCAGTTGGGCGCTCGCTTTTTCTGAACTGGACTAAAAATTGGCCCCATTCCTAAAAGTCCCATAAAGTCAGGCCCCGTGAAATTTAAACTCTGGTAATATTGTTCCCATAAATAGTTTAATATCATAACTAGCAATTGAGCGGAAAAGCTGCAATACTTGTTAAGAAAATATTTCAATTCAAATTTTAGAGTTGCATTGAAATAAAATTATAGAAAATACCAGATTTTTATGTATAAGGTTACACTAAATCACTGTATGCACTTAAAAACCGATATCTGGCAAATATAGGTCATGGGTGTAGCCATGTAAATATGCAAAAAGCATGAACGTTCAACAATATACATTAGGCAAATCAGATGCCGAGAAGGTCAAAGTTTATTCGCTTATCTGGTCATGAATCATAAAAATAATTTTTGACGAATCGAGTTCAATATTATCAATGTGACAGAACGCTCGTAGTTCCGTTTACTAGTCGAGATGCCTCAAACCATAGAGCCAAGGTACAGTAAATTAATTAGTGCGTAACAGTTACTTCTTGTCCAAGGTTCGGAGAAAATATATAAAAGTTTCATATTCATAGTTTCTTAGATATAAACGCTGTGAAAGTCAAGTAACGCGTGATTGAACTTTTCATCTTGATCGCGTAAAAAATACCTGAAATAGCTGAAAGCTTCAGCATTGAACAACGCGGATATGTGAGCGTGTAACATCTTTTTTAATATAACAAACAGACAGCCATTTTGAAACCTTCATCAACAGAAAATGGGAATCGAAAAAAACAATTTAACATAGGTAAAGCTCGAGTATCGAAGGACATTGTATGTTGTACCTTAGGAACGTTAATCATTTTCAGAACGTATAAAAAATATTTCATTTCCTATTTCCGTATGAACAATTCCAAATTGCAATCGATATTCATATATGTCATAAACATACGTTTGATCAATAAAAAAAACAAAAACATCGCGATTACAAGAAAAGCGACAGATGGAGAGAGAGAGACTGTTAAAGTGTCGATGCCAATTTGCTTGTTGTCAACAATAATATATTAATATAAATATCATGAATTATGGGCAGGATGTGTTAGTCTATGTTCGATCAAACGTGATCAAGTCAAATAATGCAAATACATCGACCAAGCTGACCACTTAGTATTAATAGCCATCATTAATTATGTATTGTTATGTTATGGACATTGTCATCGTCCCGATGTTATGGTGACGTCGAGTTTTGTTTACAAGATGTTATCATGTACTTCATTATGTATGAATCATCTAGTTTCAACGTACCAGCTTATAATTTATCCGAAAATCTTATTTGTAAAAATAATTGATTTTTTTGTACTCGGTATCAAGTTCATATATTACGTAACAGCAATACAGGGCAAGTAACCTTTACCGATGAGATTTCATTATAAACTAATATGATTCGACCACCTGATCTGATCGGATTTCGCTCTTTTATTTGAACTTTTCAAAGAAATATTGATTTTGTCTGAAGTTTGAATGTTTTAGTCAATTTTTTTTTATCCGTAGCTTTAATATAAAATGATGAGTAAATGGAATATGTGCAGTAAGATAGTTTTCAAAACGGGTTGCAAACTCCCAAGAAGACTCTAAAATTACCATTCATACTTGGGAAGATCCACAGGTCATGAACCATGCTAGTTCCGAATAGTCTACGAAAACGGTTTCCAATCGGGTTCAATGGACTCCGAGGTGCCCACACGGCAAGTGGATTCGTGATCTTTACATGCGTGCTGAGTAAAATAAACTCAAACTTAGCTTAGCTCGCAGAATATGTGAAGCATTTTGTTTATTAAAGAAACTATTAACTGTGTTTGTTGAAAGAGGTCCACAAATTCCAGGCGAATGTATCTATTGTACTGAAAAAGAACTACCACCACAGTAAATGTGTCACATACTTTTTGATACATAATAAAAATTTCGTACTGGGAAGTTTTGTTCAATCGTGTGCCATGTACGTGGTAAGTGGTTGGTAAAATTCAAAGTGTGATTCACTTGCGTAAGAGTTTGTTGTCGCAAAATTGCTTTTCCGCGAAACGCGTTTTCTCGCTAAGATCATTCTCACAAAACATTCTCGCGCAAATGATGCCAACCAGAAACACAAATGTCGATGTGAACAACATTTATTCTGCGTCAATTCTGTTCATTAACTGAGGCGAATAAAATATCATTTCAAACAATAAGGTTTTTATCGAAAATACAAATAAACAGTCATTTTACGAACGACAGTAAATTTTTAACAATTGTGATAAAATATATTTGATAAAAAATTGAAAAAATAAAAGTACCATAAACATTGAAAATCTTTTGTAAGAAAAAATATTTCGTTGACCATAGTTATGGCGTCGGGATGAAGATGACGTCACCAACGGTCATTGTCGTTGTAATATAGGCAGTGTTTGTTTGTGTTAGCGTGACAGATAGAAAGTTAATCATTGTCGAGCATGGGCCATGGATTGGCTGCGTTCAAGATTTAGAGGAGCGCCCTGATAGAAAGCTGGGATTGATTCGTCTGTTTTGATTTCGTAATTTAAATTTAATTCGTCTTATCATTTTACATGAAAACTGTGCAACAAAGATCCATAAATATGTATCTTGCACAATAAAGAGAAGAAAATCAAAATTTTGCGCAATTTTTTGGGAGTAAATACTAATAGAAATGGTAGCAAAAATAGATTTGCGTCTTTTGAAGTTTGTCCATTGTTTACTTCAATTGCGCCCAAACTCGTCTTAATTATGAATTCAGTCGAAAAGGAACATTTTATCTCCGTGTGTTCTCCGCATAATCATGCCTTCCATTCGTATCTTTGCAATCTTTGTTTCAATCAAAAACATTTTTCCTCTATACGATTATCCGTCACACAAACGATGTCTTTTTAGCTTCTTTCAAAATTCGTAGACTCGGTCCGAGGGGTATTCCTATGCTTTTTAACCTTTCTTCATCCATATAAGGCAATTCAACCATTCCAATGCTCTCAGATTTAAAATTGTCGATATATTTCTAAAAATAAAACAAAGGAAATTCAGAAATATAATTAAAAGTAGAGTGAAATGCATAAATAGTTAATACTGAAATCGGCGCTTCAGAAGTATATGTAACAATATGAACGTAACTAATCTTGTTCGCCTACTTTACATTAAGTTGTGTAGGGACTGAAACCTATGGGCAGAGAGTATATTCAGTTGACTAACACAGACAGCCCCCGAACTAGTAATAGAACTAAAATAAGGGAATTCGGAATGGAATTATGGCCTAACCCTAACCTGCTACACATACTGTGGGAGTACTCTAAAATAAAGTGCCATAAAAGGTTGCACATCACACCATTTGCTTTAAATATGTTGTTTAATGTTAACTCCATAATAATGCTAAACAAAAAAGGGTATTTGTAACTTGAAATATGATTACCAATCCAATATGTGATGGAGATATCTATTATCATTTATATAAAATGCTATTTTTGACAATCCACTATATTTTTTTAGTATATTAAATATAAATATAGGTTTGATAGATTGGGGCACAAATATTTGTTTTTCATAATAAACAAACAGCCAACTCTTCAACTCTTATATCATGATTGAAATTAAAATATGCAACAGCCGATCTTGCGATGTTATGAAAGTTCCTATATTAATCTCATTACTTAGGTTTCAGACAGAAAGAGTAATTTAATTTTAATAATTATATGAGAATCTGAATACAAAGAAGATAAACACGATTCAAATATATAAATCAAAGCATGAAAGCTAGTCAAATCAGAATATAACGTCGATCGATTTTGGGGCAATTACTTTAGCTGGAATCATACTTTGACAATTCCTAGAACGAAAATTTGAAATAACGTTAGGGGCAAAACAAGGAAGCTCTAGCAAAATTTTGGATAAAATTATGACCAATAAGGTATTTTTGATGGTTTATAATAATTAATAATTGTAAAACAGTTTGCTTCATCGCTCCGTATCGAGAGACCAATTTAAAATATTTTGAATTAGTACTCATTCGGTCTTCATGAGCTGATTTTTAGGCTTTGGTTTCGTACAAGGCTAACGGAAAACATTCACCAATAGGTAGAAAACTAATGTTATAGCAAAGACGTTCCGTGTTCGCACATAAAACTCCCAGTATTGCAGCTAGAGGGAGATTTGAACCCAGGTACTCTATAACTTTTGATGATATTTAATGTCTTATGTAAAGTTGTATCTAAAACATTGCCAGGGCACGTTTACGGTAACATGGCCTTTTAATGGCAAACCTTTAACGCCTGATTTATATCTTGTATTCAAGTTTTATGCATTTGTTTTGAAGAGTTTGCTATTTTTGTTAACTGGCTTGACCAAATTTCAATAATTTTTGTTGAAAATGTAACAATTTGGTTTTGCAACTGTCCAATGGCCACTAATATGCGATTTGCACCTAAAAAAGCATAATATTGTATTATTCTTGCAGATGGTTTTTAATTATAAAACTCATCTCGGAACGCATTTGCCGTTTATCAAATTCTATTACAACCTTTTATTATTGACAATTAGTCATCAATAATTTAGACTATACTAAATACCAGCTTAGAAAAATATGAAAAAGTTGTAAAAGTTCGTCCGTGCCTCAAAACTTTGAAACTTTTTTCCATGAAAAACTGGAGTATTTTACACATGAAAACATGTGGCACAAGCTTGGGGGGCCAGTAAATTCAGGTTAGTATTAATACATAGTGTGTAGTTCCCAAAGAAAACCACGAGGGGCAACAAATTGGAAACAGTTTGACAACAAAGTTTATATTTTATTCCCAACTTCCACAAATACAACTTTAGGTAAATTATGCAACACGTCATGCTTGGCCATATCCAAAAATATGGCCAGAACGCTTTGTCAAGCATGCGTCATAGATAAATTGTTCAGTCACAAAGTGCATTATACAGTATAGTTTTTGGCGGGAAAATATTGAATTTTATAATCAGACAAATTCAATTTAATATTTGTGAAATTGTATTTAGGGATTAGAATTACATTGCAATTGGAATTTCCAAGGTATTTGATACTTTTGAAATTCGCCGAGATGCAGTTAGCAAAAATGAGGTATTTACATAAAACATTGCAGTACACCATTGCCCTAACCAAAGGATCGCATGGGCTTCCTAGAATCAAACATACAACCTAATAGGACATTAAAATTGGAATTGGGCCAAATATCCATCCATTCCCGAACGTTTAAGAAAAGTAGAAGTTCGAATTCGATAACTTTTAGTAAGCATTTATTTCTTATTGCCGTGTTGTTCCAATTCCAGTATGGGTGTTAAGATTAAACTTTTATATTAACAGTTTCACATTTAAAGCACATACATGTATATTGCATTTGTGACATCAAAGACTCCGTATATGACGTGATAAACAAGGTTTTTATGCCGTTTCAACAGCAAATATTACGTAAAATATAAAAATGACAATTAGTAATATCTTACCTCATAACCCATTTGAGTTAGAAATAAATTCAAAACAGGAGGTTTCTCTCCAAAAAATTTTGCAAGTTTAACCATTCGTCGAGGCTGGGCTTTTGCATTGAGTGCCGACATTGCTGCAACCTCTGATTTGGAACGACTGGACGACGACGATTTTCTTGATGATGGCTTTCCCTGGGAACGTTCTTTACGAAGCTACAAAGTATTTAAGTGCGATAGTTTAATTAACTTGTAACACTGCTGGTCGGAGTAATGATTAGTGACACCGGGTCTGTTCGGAACTAACGAAACTTCTGTAGTGAATGGACATTTCGTAGTTATCGTATTCAACACATGGTTTTTGTTGGCTTTTGGCTTTTGTTCACAATCTTATTAAAATACAAGAAACGCGGTGATGCATGTGTGGAATCAGAGTCTTGATATTCGCTTAATGTGTGGAGAAAGTATGGCAATTTCATGACATAGTTTACTCACGAACAATAGTGACCAAAGACCTAATGATTGTCCCGGAACGAGCTGAATTATTTCTTCAAAAATCAAATGCGGGAACACTTGAGTCATGATGCTGGACTGTACATGTTACCAAGGTAACGACATAAGCGACAATGTCACTTCACAGAAGATTATTATTCACTTATGGTAATTAGTAATTTACAAATAGATTGGAAAACTTTAAAACGCTATTCGCAATAACGTTACAACCGGCCTTGTGGCATAAACACTTCCTGCTTATGTACTTACTTTAGTGTTTATGTTAGGTGATAACAATAAATCCAAAGTGTCAAGGATGTGCACTCAAGATGTATATAAGACAAAAAGAGGTGACAAAACATGTGACTGGGGATATTAATTATTAAAACAAAAACATACATGCACCCATAGAGCCTTGAGGAGATGCACTTTATTGGGTACTCCCGTAGTGTGTCATGTGTACCTGTTTAGGGTTAGGCCATAATTTTATTTCGATTTTCCCCTATTTTAGTTCTGTTACGAGTTCGGGGACTGTCTGTCTTAGCAAAGTGAATATACCCCCTGCCCATAGGTTTCATTCCCTTTACACAACTTGATGTAAAGTGAGCGAACAAAATTAGTTATCCCATATTGGTACACATACTTCTGGAGTGCCCTTTATTGTCATCATAAAATTGACTTGTCAGGGATCTTAACACGAACCAATAATAAATTGCAGTATATAATAAGTCCGTGCTTGAAAATACGAAACTACTTTTACAAGATGGCCGAGCGGTTAAAGCGTTGGACCAAATGTGTTGGCATCGCAGGATTCACATCCGCGTTCAAATCCAATGCCCCCTATCTCACCCAGTGTGTAATAAATTGGATAGGCAGTGCCGAACCCGAATTACTACAGGTGGTCACCAAAAAAGAAGAAAATTTGGATGGCAGACTAGATCACGAATAAAATGCGTGCTTACTCATTTCTCTTTCGAACCGTTTTAATTTCTTATAGATTTTAGGTTGTTTTAGGTTCTACTATGTTAAGACACTGCTCTGAAATGCACGGACGACATTTTGAGAATCTATAAAGTGTAATATACCATATATATGCTATTGAAAAACTCTGTAAAAGTTATTCTTTGTGGAAATAAATAGCTGTTTAACAAATTTTCTGTTTTCTAGCGACCACTCTGTAGATATCAGTTGGTGTTTGGACAGTACCTCGTTTGGAGCCGAGGACGTGTAAAAAAAAAGCTCACCTCTTCGAGCTGTTCGCGTAATTCTTCTATATCACGTGATGCGCTGTTCTGTTGCCTCATTTCTGATGATAATTGCGCCACACTTCGAGCCAGTGTAACGACGTGGGCTTCCAGACGAGAAAATCGTTTGTTGACAGCTCTAAACATATTTCAAATTTTAGGATTATGAAATATATACATATATATTTGTTAGATATTCGAATAAAAAAATGAAAGTTATTTTGTTGGAAAAAACATTCGAACTCACAAAACAGTATTTTAGTACGACGATCTATTTTGCTTGCATCAGAGTTGATGTGGTCATTGAAAAAAATCATTCAGTCTCAGGAGAGACTATAGTTTAACATATTACATTTGCGACTTGGTTAAGTTATGTTTGGTTAAAATAGGCGTCATTAAATGCATAGCAAAGTTGAAATGGTACCGAAGAGATCACTAATTAATAAAAATAATCAAAAGAAGAATTCAGATTGTAAACGGATTTGAGTCACACAATTCATTCATAATATGAATACGATTAGACAGACTAATCAACGAGAAATCTTGGTTTATCTGGTCAAATGTAACACATAGAATTTTATTTTGGCTTTGACTAAGGATTTTGCTATAAAATCGATGAATCGAGGGTGGCGCGTAATTTTTCGTCCATATAAAATATTTAAATATTTTGAGTCAAAATCCGTCGGGCATTATGCTCTAAAGGTCACCTTGTAATGGAATCGTGTCATATCTAATTATGTCCAGCTGATCAGATAACTAATAGTTTTTATGTTGCTGGTTTCAAGATAGACTGACAAACCCATTAACAAAAGTTAACAGTGAACGACAAGAAAAGCCTTTGGGAATAAATTATGCAAAGACAATAAATTTAAAAAGACGCCGGGGACATCTATATAGTCGATACAAGATCAAGTCAGACCAAGAAAGGTTACGAGCGCTTTATAATATAAGAAAACGCACTAAAGTAACTGATATATCATAGTATATTGGGTACTCCTGAAGTATGGGTACCAAGATGACGGACACCGGAACGTAGTACGTGTACCAGGTTAAGGTTAAGCCATAATTTTATTCCAATTTTCCGTATTTCAGTTCTATCACGAGTTTAGGGACTAGCCAAGTGACTCCCGTAGTACTTGTACCAGAAATCATAGCCTAACCCTAACCTGGTACACATACTACATTCCGGTGCTCGCCATCTTGGTTGACATACTTCGGGAGCGCCGGATATTGTTCATACGGATTCTGGCAAAAGTCACTTGAACACGCCATCAAAATTACCCCGGTTTTGGGCATAAATGAATCAGACCAAAGAATTTTGTAATAACATTTCGTCACGCCATGTATTTTTGAATGAGTTTTCGAATGTGCAGTAGTACAAAATGGAGAACGCACAAAAACGTATGAAACGGTTCTAGACTCGAAACATTATACAAACAAAACTGTAGTTGAAATAATGTGGCGAAATGAATATTTGTTATACTTTAAGGGCTCTAATACCCTTTCTAATTTGACATATACAACGAATGTGATGTTTTGAAGCTTCGTCAGTCTCTGGTACTCCATATTATAAATGAATTCACCAATCATAAGAAAATAGTGATGTGCTATGAGAATCAAAACTGAAACCGAAATCTTTCATCGGTAATTTTGAGTGAACTAATGAAACATTATTCAAATTTCTATACGACAAGGTAGGGCTTTACCTAACTTCTTTTGCGTATGATTTATCTAAAATTCCACCGTGGCCATGGTGTCGTCGATGATGACGTTTTCCTTTTCTCAAAATACTGCTTGTAACAGAAGCGCTTGTGAACGATCTTACACTCGATGTTTCTTCAACGTCATTTGGCTCTTTAGCGCCGCCACCGTCACCAGACCTGTGAAGTAAATATGTTCATTCGCAATAAATCCACAAATAGGATTATGGTTTTTGTGTTGTTACCAAAATTAGGGAAGTGGTTCATAACCTTTTCAGTGCTATGAAAACTTTTTTTATTGAACTTCCATAAAGTGGGGGATTCCTTCAAATTTACAAGCGGTTTCTACTAGCAAGTTGATTGAGAGTTTGGACTTAGACACTTAGAAAAAATAAACGGAGTAGGAATATATCTTATTTCAGCGGTTCAGGACATGCTGGTTGCCCCGAACAACAAAATGCCGGTCAATAATGCCATAATATTGTTGCACGAAAATAGTCGCTGGAAAAGAAGAATTCAAATATGGTGAATGTAAAATCTTACTAAAGGTTCATTATTAACTGCAGATATTTGTAGGGAAAATCAAAATTTTAACGAATTTATTGTAAAAATGCGTCAGAGCCAACAAAGTATTTACCTATAAAATGCTGGGAACCTTCCCAATCTCTGCTTCTGTTTTGTTATTGCTTCTGTTCCCTCTATGTCGTCATAATAGGTAAATTCTTGCGAGTGTTTATTTTGATGTACTTTTTTATTTTTGCCGTGACGACTGCTTCGTTTACCAACGCGATGTCTTCGACCATGAGTAATCGCTACCCGACGCTCATCGCAAGATGACGCCCGGGAGCTTTGGCGTGTAACATATCGGCCCTGAACTTGGCAGTTTGTTATCTTAGTGGTGACTTTTACAGCGGGATTTTTTGTTGCTATCACAGCCTTTGTTTTATCACGTGTCTCAGCCAATGCACTTTCCGTAGGCGATAGTTCTTGGTGATCATGACTTTCTCCGCTGGCTCCACTGTATTTTCCACTGTCTTCTGCAAAAAGGAGTTAAGTTGAAACAAAGAGGAACATTTCGACAAGTATGCTCAAAATAACTGATCATTCACAGAACTTGCGCGTAGCAATGTTGTTAAGTTTGACCATAAATTACGATTGTTTTAAATTTTAAATGTTGGACTATTCTTTTCATGAATATTGTTTCAGATGCACAGTTTTTGGTACTTCAGTAGTGTGTGTACCAGTTTGGGGTTAGGACCTAATTTTAGTCTGATTTTTCTTATTTTAGCTCTATTAGGAGTTTGGATCTGCCAGTATTATCCAAGTAAATATGCCCATTGGTTTCAGTCCATTCACGCAACTTATGTAAAGTAAGCGAACAAAATTAGTTACCTCCATATTGATACACACAATTCGGTAGCGCCCATTTTTTAGATTTGGTTACTGTTTACCTGACTAAGACACTCACAAGCAGCAAATGTGTATAAAACAATTTTCACTTGAATATATTTCAACATTTTCAAGTCTACACTTACTCTACTTTTGAATTATTCTAGCTTGTACATTGTACCTTGAAAATATATTGCATTTTTTCATATGCCCCACAGGCATTCGTATGAATATATTTATATATATATATATATACCTGAAATCTTTCCTTTAGAGTTCTCCGTTAACTTTTTTTTCATGAGATTTTCATAACTAGGCAAGCATGAAACTTCATTATGGAATTTACGAGGCGATTTGTCCTGCTGAGAAGATTTCATGGCGATATGAGGTTCGCTGTTCCTCGGTGTACTTTCTTCGTCGGATTCGTCAGGAGAAAGGGGCGGTAACGTTGGGGTACTGGAGCGTGACCAAACGGTCTCGCGATGTGATTGGTCAAGATTTGAATCTATCTTTGACTGACGTTGTTTTTGTGCTTTTAATGAAATTTCATCATCAGATTCGCTTATAACTGAAGAATCAAAGTCAAAAACAGAAGCCTCAGCGTCTAGAATAGCACCACTGTCACGATCATCACTTTTCCGCGATTCCCGCTCATCATCTAGCGGATCTTGATTTCTAGCATGGTTTTTCAAAGAGCTGTCCCTACTGGGTATTGTAGGTGAAGTTACAGTCCGACTAGACCGTTTTGCAGGTGTTGGTACAGAGTTTTCAGATGACATTGAAGTCAATGATGACACTTTAAGGGCACAATGCTCTATACTTTCTACAGTATTCTGCGCAGGAGGTCTAGTATAAGCCGGTGGCGGCGGTTCCGTATATTGTATAGGCTTTGCTTTGCGTTCAACAGTATTATATGATTTAGTAGGGGATACCTTTCGAGGCAGACTCCCCTTTTCATGATTTGAAATATCAATACCTTTAGTCTTAGGCGGCAAAGACAGTGTAGGAGCCGTGGATGTCTTTCGAAATCGGAAAACTGGTTTTTCATGTTGATCAGAATTTCCTATTGTATTTATAACATCCGTACCAGACGCTGGTAAACTTGACTTTGAATATTCCAATGTTTTTCGTGCGGTTCCGGGTTCAGGGGTTCTTGATTCAGGTCTGTTTCTGAACATCATCCACTCAGGTGCGCCGTCTTTAATTTCACTTGTCGGTGATTGTAGTGGTAAAGTCGTAGCACGACCGGGACTCGGTGCTGGACGTTGGTTCCAAATAGCTTGATTATATGCCCCAGTTGGGGTTCTCCGTCCCATCGGTGTGCTAGAACTAGCGGGATCTACATACAGTTGAGTAGTAGCAACCGGCTGATCCTGAAAATCACAAGTGAGTTAGATTCTTATTACATAACAAACAGTTTGTAAATTGTGGTATCGTCGTGTTATTGATTTCATGTAATCTATATAATAGAAGTCACTGAGCAAAAAAACACTATAATTTTCTTTTAATTGATTTTGATTCAATACTTTTAATTCTGCCTTTCCTTTACCATTTAGGCAGACATATCAATTTTTCGGTTGTGATGGCTCAGCGTATCAAATGTGCCGTACCGGCACTCATTGCACGATATCCAATAATTATTTATCAACACGTAACATAGAGAAAATTGTTTACAAACTAACAAATAATTTCCAACAATAACAATGAAAGATTTCTTTATGTTTGAAAACAGCGACTTTTCTTTAAAATGTTCATACCGACATGCCATAATCAGGTATATATAATTAGCGGATTTCAAGAGATTGCTTTCTTTCAATGCAGGCTAGACATATGTCGCCTACCATTGCGTATTCTTCACTGAAGAAAAGGAATAATATTCGGTATGTTAATGCGAAATATAGATTATTATAAACTGTATTCGATTTCTACTTCACATAACATACCTAAAAATCTATACAATCTTGGAAACCAAATCACATTAAACATCGATAGCTGAAATATTGTGCTCTATATATATGTTAATGTGACAAAGCATAATTCTTATTAAATACCTTTTGATTGAATTTACTCAATTTATCATACGAATTCAAGGCAATAATATAAAAAAGTACTTCCGTAGTGTGTGTACCAGGTTAAGGTTAAGCCATAATTTTATTCCGATTTTTTTTATTTCAGTTCTATTACGAGTTCGGGGACTGTCTGTGTTAGTCAAGTGAATATACCCCCTGCCCATAGGCTTCAGTCCCTTTACACAACTTGAGGTGAAATAGGCGAACAAAATTAGTTAGCTCCATATTGGTACACACACTTCTGGAGAGCCAATAGAAGAATAATGAATACAATTACCTGCTGTTGCTTGTTAGTGTGATCAGGAACTACATTCCAGTTTTCGTCGTAGAAAGATGCAGGAACCGCACTGACACATCGACGTTGGCGCGCTGTCAAAGCTTCGGTTTGCGTACGACGCACAAATGGAGCAGGAGATTTCGACGTCGCCCTCGAAGTTGCAACCTAAGTAACATATATTAAATATTATGTATGGTCTTGTTACTTCAAATATAAAAAATTTACAATTCTTCAATGCCTAAAGAAGTCACGATCTAAAAAAAATAGTACAGTAAGAGAGTATAATATTTTTATAAATCCACTGTTTATTTATGGCGCTCCAGAAGTGTATGTACCAATTTGGAGGTGAGTAATTTTGTTCGCCTACTTTACATCAAGCTGTGTAAAGAGACTGAAACTTATGGGAAGGGGATATTTCCATTTAGCTAACACAGACAGTGCCCAAATTCGTAATATAAATAAAATGAGGAAAATCGGGATAAAATTATGCTCTAATCCTAACCTGGTACAGCACACAATAAGGGAATACCCATTTTTTTAGATATAAATATATTATAGATCACAAGAACAATTCGATATAAATCAATCAATGGACAGAAAGTCATTTACATCAAAATCGATATATAAAAAAGCATAATATACCGGATTGGATCTTTCATGACTTGGCATTCTATCGCTCGACGATGAACGTGTTCGTCTGGTAATTGATGTCGGTTGATTCTTCAAATCTTCATCGCCCGTTGTTCGGTTCAGTCTTTCCCTCATTTTTGATTCAGCGATACGAGGAGAGTAGGATCCCTGGCAACCTTTACTTCCTAGTTCGTACGTTGGAGGTTTTTGAAAAGTATTTTTCTGTAAGGCAATCTTTTAAAATATGAAGGATATGAGAAATGAACTATCTATAAAATACATAAAAGTTTAGGTATCTTTTTCAGGGAAATAAGTGTAAATATTAATTTTCGAATAAATCTATGTAAAATCCGACATTTAAACTTGTCTACTGTAATAGTGCGTTACTTAAACCAGTATTAAACCAGTATTCCCTGTTTTGCCCAAATGAACTTCCCGAACAAGCTAAATATACATTCGTATTGGGATATTGTGTAGGGATGCAGCGGCAGCAATAAACATGACTCTTCTAAATGGCTTATTTATTATTCGCTGCTGTTTGTAGAATATATTTTACCAATATTCTTGCCAGCAAAAAAATGGAATAGTTGGAAATATTATAAACTTCAGTGCTGAGTGAAAATCAATAATCAATATATGCACTCGGAACAGCGTCTTTTATTTGGCAAAACTGGTGACCCCCAGACTGATCTGACTGTTTATTTTTAAGGAGTGTTTAACGTTAAAAATTCCAATTTTTGCTAAAAATTCATTCAAACTCCAAACCTTGTGACGTTTCTAACATTTTTGACTAATAACGTCATCGCTATATATCGATATCTCTAACAGCAGTAACTACTGTATATTAAACGTGTCACGAAATCTTCAAAGTTCGACCCTTGAAAAGTTATCTATCCATGTCAAGCCTGACAGTCGCGGGTACTTGTACTGAAAAACCCGACCCATTTTATTAAATTAAAAATAAAATTTGATAAACATCTAAAAAAAAAAATTTTTTGTACATATAGAAATTTCCTGAACTGACCTGTATTTCAACCGACTTTCAATCAAAAAAACTATAATTTAACCAAAAAAAGTGAGCTGAGCAAAACCACTACTCTTAACAGCTATGTTAACAGTGTACATTACACTTCAAAGGATCTGTCCAATACAACAAGCAAACGTGTTTAGGAAAGTGGCGACCTAGCGTCTCGAACGACAAACACAATTATACGAAACGTGGAGAAAAATCACGAACATTGGCGTTTATGTGGCGCAATTTGTCTGAAATTTCTAACTAAACTACATAATTCTTAGGCTGTGAGAATTAATTGTACACTTTCTGTATTTTAATTGCCCTGAATAATGAATAGTCAAGATGATATCGTAGAATAATAAAGCGTAAAGAAATGTCGAAAGTATCATTTTTATCCAGTCTAGAGACGCACATATGGAGTTTATTATTTCAGTTTTACGCATGGCCAAAGAAGATCCTAATATTGAGTAGGCAGTGAGCTAGTGCGTTTTGTTATATATTGTGTCGTAATAATACAATAGGCAAAACAATTAAAAGAATAAATTGATTAAGAAAAAGCACGTTCACAATTCTGTTCCATGGTAGTGTCTTCCATGAATGAAACCTTAGCCGAGCTGGCTCAGGCACGGGCCGAATTTCTAAACACTGATACATCTATGGTCCAAGTTAGATCGACAACACACGTGAATAAATTTAAAAGGGGGAATGAAATACAAAAGCTGTGGGCGGTGAATGGATTTACGATTTACAATAGGAAGGCTGAATTGATTAATCCTTTAGATAAAAAACAAAACACTGAATGAATGAATCAAAGACTTGATTGGAGTCTACTAAAAAGACAATAGCATGTTTCCAAGCCTAAGACTCGCAGTTTGAAGTGGTTAACTCAGAGTGGACCTTGAAACAAAAAAAATTTTATTGAATAAATGTGATTCATTTAGGACTCTGTGGGTCATTGAATGGGGTATAGTTGGTGATAAATCATGTCCGCGTGGGTTTTCCAACTTCGGTCTTTGTTGCATGATCGCAAAGTTCGGTATAATACAATCTCACTAAACACAACGCACGTATCAACTAGAAGAGTTGGAACAGGTACATCCTAAAGTACTCAAAATTGCTAAATTTATTACAATTGTCTTAGTAAGTATCGCGTTGGTCTGTCTATTCACGGTTGTGGCAGGTTAGGACTAGCGCTGGTTATTAATCTGGCGTATTTCTTGAGAATCCAATGAAACTGAACTTGAGAATAAGACAGGTGTGATTACAAATTACGGCCCGCGGGTGTAAATAAACTTTTTTTTATTCATATTTTCATATTAGGTTTTGAGCCTCCGGCCCATTAACTAAGTTTATAATTTGTAACTGGCCCACTCAGAAAATAATTGCCCACCCTGGAAAAATATATATAGGATAGATATAAAACTTCAGGTACATGTAGTAAAACACTAAGCAACATCTACCATCTCAAACTGAATATCTCTATCATTCAGAGTGTGCTGTGGAAATGAACTAAAATTGGTGCAAACTGGACGAGAAACGTTACCTCAGCAAATGTCACGACATAAAAAAAATTGAGGATTAAGTCGAAATTTACAATAATGAAACGCAAATGTATGTATCCTGACACCTCCCACACGGTTTTGTCCATCAGGTACCAAAAAGCGAAACATATTTTCCGCTTAACCGAAACAACAGCTGTGTGATCTTGAGACAGTAATTTAGGACTTCCGATATCGAGTGTTATTTAAGGTGATATCAGGCATAAAAGTTGATAATCAATAGAAAATTACCTTCGGATTTGAAGTGGATTGGCCTTCTGTTCCTTCCGTGTCGCTATTCAATAGATTTTTTAATCTTTCTTCGATTGTTGGGGCATTCTTTGCCTGAAATTAATCAATACAAATGAATGTCACGCATTTAAAACAAAAACAAAAATAAAATGCTTGATGTCATAAATTTGAAAGATCTATCCTGAAAAAAAAATTATATTGTTCAATCTTTTTCACATAATTTCTCGCTAATCTCAGATTCTAATTTTATTCAAATCCTTAATTTGCTGTACAATTATTTTTGAACAATACTTTTGATTTGTCACATGTTGTTTTACTTTATTTTAATTTAATTACTTTTTTCTAAACTTAATAAGTGAAATTACGAGTTTTTAATTTTGCTTGAGCTAAGTCCTATTCTACTTCCCTTTCGAGGAGCCAGTTTTTGATAGCCAATTCATTGATAGTAAAATTTACAGCAATTTACATGCTAAAATTCCAAATTTGAATCAAAACCAACAAAACAGATGAAATAAATACTAATTAGAAGTAAATATATGAGAAATAGATTGAAAACAAAAAACATAATTGACAGAAAAATCCTAGCTATTTCACGTTAAAGAAGCGAAATTCAAGCGATTAAAATAAAAACCCCGATTTTATCGTTCTGACTATATTTCAACAGATACTATTTCTTACATTTCTTCTATCGTTAAAGAAGGTAAACAGCCTCAATTTCTTCGTCTTCCCGTCGCCTTTCGTCTTCATGATGGCGCTGAAACCTTATACCTAACACAGACTAGAATCTAAAACCACAAGGAATCCCCTATGTATCGTATCACTGTCAAATATCACATAGAAAAACAACTTTTGAAATCAACATCGACCCCAAAATAACCTATTATTGTTTCGAGTCATGTTCATATAGCAAAGATGTCATATCTGATACGAAGCAAACGATAAATATATTTCGGGAATAAAACGGAAATATTCAAAAGTCAACAAAAGACACAGCTAAAAAAGCATCCGATATTACTATTGGCAAATGATTGTCTTTAATCAGCCTCCAAAATACTCAAAATGTGAATATATTTTTAAGTTTATGTTGTCATCGTTCAACATGAGTCTTGAACTCCTAAACTTTAGTATTCGTATCAACCTATAAAAGTAACTTAATATCTGGCAACCTTGATTCTCATCCTCCCATCTCTTTATCATAACTAGATCGAACTATACTCAAACACAAAATAAAAAACATTTACGTATACGACCCAAAACGTCAGGCTTTCATCAACAGAGGCTAACAAAATATTCTTTCGCTAAATTGAAGTCATTTGTATACATAAACCAATAATTGCCACAATAACTTTCTATGATATCACCCTATCGACCACAATAACACAAACCAAACGAAAGTCAATTTAATCTGAGCAAGTCCAGACTGGAATTGTAACATCAACTTGGATGAAATTCCATCCATTATGTCAGTGTATAGACGGCCAAGTATGGGACAGTATGCACGTTTTATCTTTGGCAAGGTATCGTCAAGGGATATTTCTTACTTAAACTGTTAATCCGTTATCTCTGGAATCACAAGGTACTCGAGTATTCGTCCCTCCTAATTTTTACCCGTTCAATTCATCTGTATGCACGGGTAGAAACGCCGAGTGTCGAATTAAGACACTTATGCTTGAAGTTTTGAATTACTTCAAGAGTCCTTTCATGAGCAAAATGAAAAAATAAATAAATAAAAATAAAATGAGGACTCAGATACTCAGTGCTTGCCTGCGCGGTAGGTAGTTTCTATATATAGATAGTCTGGGTTGATATTCGACTTAGGACCAAGTTAGTACAATCAGTGAAATTCAAATGTTAAAAACGGTCCGTGATTGGTCGAGCGTGGCATGACGTCAAAAGTTTACCGGGGGAAACATTATCCAACGTTCTCCGTGGTTCACAGAAGCTATGTGTTATCTGCGTCCTGACTCATGTTCGCATTTTCAGAAATTAAAACAAAAATATTGCAAAAAATAAAAGAAAATTAATTTGTGCAAAACGGAAAAATATTTGGCGGTAACCAACAACGGGTGTGATATTTGAGATTGCGATTTGAGAATGTCAAATTTTTTGAATATCGCCATTTTGTGCAAAGAAAATGTGCATTCCGTTCACGTACAGAAAAACAATGCGTATGTACTAAAAGACATCGGATATAAAATGGTTTGCAACCTTACATTCGAAAAGCTGGTGAATTTACTTCTTACCCTTTTGTACCTGAACTTATCTAGATTTCAATTTTGACTACGTTTCTTTAGATATTCACATACCAATATATATAAGACATGAATGGTATATTTATGCTAGTTTTGGGTTTTGTGCATATATGATGCTAACCATTTAAAGGCTAGTTGAAGATTATATTGATATTTGTATATTTCTATCATTTATCCGAGTTGTAGTGGAAGATTTAACACTGACAAGAATACAAAGGAACTGTTATGTCTAGTTTCCACCATACAGATTATATTTTGCCATAAACCCGTCAACTTCCAGACAAACTTTGGTCTCATAGACAAGTGCTTGTCCATCAGGATAAAGCTTGCACCTTTAGTTAGTACGATTATATAAGATAACTCTTTCTTGTAATCGCTATTTTTGTAATATGGAACAACTAAGATAGACTTCACTTTGAAACCCGCTTTAACAGTACTGCTTGACAACTTGGAACAAAAACTAATATCCAATATACTGCCATATAAATGCTATACCCTCAATGACTTATGAAGTCTTTGTCTTTAACTAGAACCCGCATTTTGTACCTTACATTCAGCACATACTTGACTCCGCTTATAGCAATAGCAGGTCTAAATTGCTTTTTCCGTTGGTTATCGAATAAATCTGACTTAATTACACCTTATACGGTGCGGTTTAACGAGCGCAAAATGGTGTTCAAGGTACTTAGCCTTAGAATAAAGTACACTTAATATAACACTAACAAAGACCGATACTACACTCATCTGGTTAATTAATTGATCGACGAAAAAACGAGGCCGCGGTCACTCTTGGTCGTTGTACAACGATCCCACTTGACATACCGTTTCCGCAATTTCGGGTACTACTTAGTAGCCAATCACAAGAAATATCAAAAAGCTTTATAGAAATGACCAATGTTATGATTGGCTCAATAAACTATCAATATTAAAGATAACATCATAAAAAAGTTTTATGAGCATTTTGTTATTTTTCATTGTAGAATCTATGAATAATTTAAAATTTAATTTAAAAAAGATAAATTGGCAAACAATTCACATATTTCAAACTAGGCTTATTCAGTAATGAAATGTAGCCCAATATCTCCAAAAGAACAACAAAATTTGGCAAAATTTCATCGTGTTATTCTTTGAACTAAAATTTGTTATTTATGATGGTAGATCCGTTTGATGGTCGTATAAACTGAGAGCATTATTAGATATTTTTATAATTACAGCATAGAAAATTTCACACATTCTATACATTCTGCACTCACATTTATAATTTAGATTTCTAACACGCGGCAAACACCTTCGCCGGTCGCTTCTTTACAATTTTAAAACCGCTAACATGGATTTTAATTAGTGTAGTTGCAAACTAACTAACTAGAAAAGTTACTTCAATTCAAGCAGTGATTATACGAAATAATGCAAACCTCTAAAATAGTTTGTAAATTTAGCTAAAATCAGGAATTTTACAAATGACAGAAGCATCGAGTGATCATACAAAAATGTTCAAAAATGAAACTAAACTAAGATGTTTTGAGCTTTCTGTTACCCCAGAATATCTAATATAATATTAAATGTAATAATATCAATATTTTACTGAATTCTGACTAATCTGTTCAAATTGTATTGCAAAATACACTGTTTGTTTTTATGGCTCACATAACTTTATAATTCCATGTTACGGTTAAAAAGCCTTTATTGGAATATACAACCTCAACCTCTAACTCTGAAATAAAATACTTCTGATCTGGTCTGCTTCTAACCGATCGAAAAACAAGACGAACGTTTTACGTTTCAGCAAAAATATCTCAAGTACTTACACAAACCAAATCCGGCATTAGTATGACTTGAGACGATAAAATTTTATCCCCAAAATTACATCAAGATATCAGTAAAGACAAAATAAATCGATAATACATTATGGGCAATTGCGCACGAGTCGATTGTTTAAAACTTAATCGGCCTAATGTTTCGGCGATTATTGTATTTCGACAACGTAAATCGAGCGATTTTATCCCTGATTACAAGGCTAATAGCCAAATTGAATATGATTTGACCGCATTTTGACTCTGAAGTCTTTGCACTAATAAAAATAATCGTATATTCACGATAAGTCATAGCAATTGAAAAAAATAAATTTAATTCACTGAAATTTTATTGTTACTCGTCTAGTTATAAAAATCATTTTTTTCAAGTTTTTTTTTAGTAATTATACAAAATTGGCCCTAATTCCGAGCGAAATGATAATTATAACAAAAAAAATCGCTCGTGATAGCGCGTAACGTCAATCGTATTACGTATATCTTACTTTGCATAAAGGTCATGAACTATATAAAAGGCGTCAATGTTGACCAACGTGAGAGTGGAATAACTACAAAGAAACAAAATTGGTGACACAAAATTTGTCGATTATCAAGTAAATTAGGAAGTATATTTATATTGAAACGTGATCGTGATCGATTTTTTAATGAACTGTTTTTGGATTTTCAATTAATTTTTCAAATGAAAACGTAAACATTGAAATAAACTTAATGAAATCATTTTAAAGTTTTTTTTTTATATCGTTAAATCCATGAGTGACGCATTTATCAATCTTTGTGGGTTTATCAAAGACTTACTAGATTAAAAATATACAGTAGGATGAACCCAGCGAGTCTGGGACACCACACTCCACCTACCAGACCAGGGGTTCGCAAACGGAGATATATGCACCCCAGGGGTAAATTTCGACTTTTCAGGGGGTACTAGATCGAGTATACAAAATAATCTCTTCATAACTTCTAATCTGCTTCAAAGCACTATATCCCCTGATGTTAGTAATTCGAAGACCAGAGTTTAGCAACTCTTTAGAAAGTCAAATTTTCACCCCAATAGAAACTTCGCAGTCCACAAGACTTATTTTGTCCAATCACAGCATGCAAGGAAATTTTGGGGGTACGCTAGCGATCTAATAATTATCCAAAGGACACCTATTAACATTGAGTTTTGCTCGATGCTGCGTCATCAAATTCGTTTGAACGCATTAAATACTGGATTCGAATTTATCGCTAGTTTCAATGTTCAGAATAAACGATTCTATTAATGGGTGATAACAATGGCCAGATTGATGAGTGACCACGGACTCAGTACATGGTTTTATAATCATGATCATAAATTAATACCTCGCTTATATGATTAGTTTTGGCGTCAAGTTATCATTTGAACAAACATTTGATAAAGACAAAAAAATATATGTAAGCATTATCTGACCAAAAATAAGTGATTCATTATCGCCCAACTTAAATATAAAGTTTAAACGCTCTGATCACTATAAATTTCAACTTCCAAAACCTGTATAGGCAAAATGATTTCTGGCATCAGCAATTTCGGCAATAACATTCCAACATGCCCGTCCACATTAAGTGCGACGAAGCCACTTCGCACTGCAGTTAATTAGATAAATGCTTCCGCTGGTACTTGAAGCAATGCTGAATTCTCTGTCCTTACTTCCAGTCTTCCCAGTTTTTGGACCGGCCTGACGAATATTTTGTGATCGAATGAAATGCTCTCTATACAGAATATTTACTAATTTTAAGAGCAGTGGTCCTCAAACGCTGAGACTCGCCCCACAAAGATGGCGTAGACAATTTTTCGAGGGGCGTGAAGCAAATTAAAACATTTGTTATAGATTTGATCTTACCCGCCTAATTTTGGATATTTAGATTTCAAAACTTTTCATTTGTTTCATTATTTACGTTCCATCCACGTATTTTAGACGTATATTTGAATAAAACATACTTTCGCCTTACTATCTGTTATCTGTATAGGTTATTGTTAACGAGTTATTTTTGAGGTGGGCGCGAGACGTGGCAAATTCTAAAAGGGGCGTGGTTTAGAAAGTTTAAGAACCACTGTGCTAGAAAATATATTGCCCTATTAGCTTCATTACCGCTCCCTTTACTGGTACAAAACCACTTATTATAACTGCACACATTGTCCATCATGAACATTTTTGTTCAGCCAAGTTCAAATACTTTGCCGGCTACAATCATCCAATTCTCAATGAGACAATAATCCAGCGTGAAATCAGCTTAATAACAATGATGTAGATCCGAGAAAGATAACGCATAATCAGCGGCATGATAGCTTATCATCGACATTCATCTTGTTTTTTTGCGTCATATTTCAATCAAAAATGTAAAAAAGCTGAGTGCTTTGTTTGAGCATAAATACGTGAAAAAAGTTGTTGAATCCGTCTTACATAAACTCTGGGGTAAGAAATATATACTTGGCAAACATAAAATGATCGAATATAGATATTAACAATTTATTATGAACGTTTCCCGAATTGGCCAAAATTCGACAATCAAAATCATAAAATAAGAATCCACTTGAATAAAACCGTAATTTAAAATTTCTTCTAAAATATCATGTTGAATATGATGATGCCGGTATCTGAACAAACATACAACTGTTTTCCACACATTTTTGACTTGAAACGTTTCAAGTTAATCTGCATTTACTGGCGCGTACACACTGCACCGTTAGTTTTGGAATTTTAGAGGTAGTCGCCGGTAACTTTGCTCAAAGATGAGTCTTTTTTATTTTTAATTGAGTGCGAGTGAATTTTTTTTTAACAAAAAAAATTTATTGGACCAATAAATTCTGATTTTCGACAATTACTTTTTCTGCTAAAAATCTTATAATAACTTTATGATTCACAATAACAAAATGCAAGATAATAATCGTTCAACGGAAATATTTAATTACTGATAATGATCAAATATATCGCGGTTTGTTGTCAGGTATGTACTTGAGTACTTGAGCCAAAAATGAGTCTTTGATATTAGAGCTAATTTGTTATTAACTGTTTGAAAAGGATGTTGTGTGGTAGCAGGTACGGCAAAGTGATTGACATATTGTCCGATTTTATTGGTTTTACAGTTTGAAAATTTCTACAGTTTTGAATCCCTAGTTCTCAAGGTAGGTATGTATAAATGTTTGGTTGTTGAGCAAAAAAGATTCTGCCTTGTACAATAATTTTAGCCTCGTGCTAGACTGTGTTTTGTTCTGTGGGAAATTCCAAAATTTTCTAGAAATTACAGAACTGTTATAGTCAATCAACTTTGCAGAATTGTAGTCAGAACGAAACCCACAAAGCGTGTTAAAACCTCGACAACTCGAAACTGTCACATGAACTACAAAGTAGGCAATTAATTATCAGGTGTTAACAACTTCAAATTTATGTCGAATATAAAACAGATAAATGTCTGTGTGACGTCATCAGTTTCGTAGAAATTGTAACAATGCGTAATTATATATATAAGTGAGAAAGTATATCACAGGAAACCATTAGTTGAAAAATTTTATAGAGAGTATTATTAGCCAAACGTCACATATGCGCAATAGCCCATCCATGGGTATTTACCCACCAACTATAAGAATAGGTTTAATGCATCTGCGATGTATATACATTGTTACGATTATTTTTGTTTTAATCTGTTATGCTTTTGCTGTATATAAATGTTGAAAAAACAACGACGAAAAATGCTTTTAACTAACAACCCTTCTCATTATTATATTTATCATAAAATTTCTATTGAATGCTTTTGCTCGTGTGACAAATAAATTCTAACTCTATGGTTTAGATAGCTTTACATGACACATTTCTTCGATCTTATCGTAATAATTTTCGCCAAAAAAAAACACATATGAAGCACATTGCGCGTCCAATCACAGGTTAGAAGACACTATGGGCAATTATAAAAACATTCAACTCACTGCATTATATTTTTCACTATCCAATGCTTCATGGCTATGATTGTACTTCCTCCCAAATTTGAACTCTGAACTCGGTGACGTAGACTGATAGGCATGCTTCCGGATAGCTTTCGATAATCCAAATATCTGTCGCCTTCCGTCAGCATCAAACTGTGACATACTGTGACTCGTATCCGGTGAATAAATCTAGAATAAAAATTATAAAATCATGTTCGTGGGTATTCATATAATTTAGTAAATTATTGCAATATAAATGTAATGAAAATTGGGCATATCCGAGGTATGTGAACCAAGATGGCGGACACCGGAACGTAGTATGAGTATCAGGTTAGGGTTAGGTCATAATTTTATTCCAATTCTACTTATTTTAGTTCTATTACAAGTTGGGTACTAGCCAAGTGACTACCGTAATATTTTTACCTAAAATTATGGCCTAAACCTAACATGGTACACATACTACGTTCCGATGTCCGCCATCTTGGTTCACATACTTCGGGAGTACTGAAAATTGAATATATTTTAGAAGAAATAAGAGAGTATATATATTGTATTTACGAATGCAAGCGTGAACCATCACCTGCAGTGATTTACCTACACTATGTATACAAGGTGAACACCTCTGTAAAGTTTCGATCGCCCCTTTAATTATGAGTTGTGACACCATACTTTAATTCCTGACTCGAATGTAATTGTATCTCAATATTCATAAAGTGTCGTACATACCAGTGCAAATGGTCAGTCTACTACATAACACATTTTATAAGTTTCACATAGTTTAATCGCTCATGGAAGAATATTCACCACCACCTAAATTTGGAATCACCCCGTCTTAAAATGAAAAGCTGGAGAGCATGATAATAACATGTGAGGGTTTAAAGTTAGAGTTTACAAGCCAACAGTGTTGTATTGGTCAAATTTGCGTTATGCTTCAATGCCTAATTTTCTGAAAAAAAGTTGCAAGTGGCCGAAAGTATCCATTATGTTTACTCCATGAAATGACAGTTTACGACAGTTTACTCCATGAAATGAAATCACCCGTAATCCTAGAATAACTCCACGTAAATAAGTATAACAATGCGACATCTAGAGGAAACTGTTAAGCGCCTCGACTATTCAACAACAATCAACGCAACGTTATAGCGCCACCATGCGCTAAATTTAAACAAACTAAAACGTAGTTTTTACAATACAAGGTGGTTATCGCTGAGCCGCGAGTATATTGGGATCACTCTTGTTTAACGACCGATAATGAACCATTCACGAATTACCAAATCAAAATCGATAACAAAATCGTTTCCTTTTTACCAAAAAGTTTAAATACCAGCATACCATAGGTGCGTATCAAATAAAAACATTAATCCGTTTGAAATACGATCGACTGAAATCAAGTGTGCAAGTTACGTCAAAACATTGACATTTAATAAATTTGTTAAATCATATCAAACTCGCAATAATTTCATAAATCGAAAAGGTATAATAATAGCTGAATACTTTCTTGACATCGTATAATACCATACATAAATCTGATTCGTACTTTATAACATTTCGGATGAGTTCCATCAAAACATTGACTGACATTCAATCCATTAACTGTACTTAACATTGTGTGAGTACATAATCAAATTATTTTAAGTTCTAGCAACATTTGGTATATTTTACATACCTTATTTGCAAAATACACTGTTAGCTTTTTTATTTAGATTATTGTGAAATTAACTAAAAAAAAATTATATCTTGATTTTATTAAACCAAATGGAACATTTCAAATTTCCATCAGTTACGTTTACTAGAGACAAGCTACCATGCTTTGGGCTTTTGAGCTAATGAAGTTTAAGGAATAAAAAGTTAATTTGGGACTATTTGAGGTAATCAAAATTCTATCCATAAAATTTGATCAAATGTAGGCTATGCTTTGCAGTTATTGTAAAACTTTCGTCAGCATATATTCAAAAATTTCGCGCATACTTAATTCATGTAAAGTTATTTATTTATTCTGATTTGTATTGGTAGCCGCAAATAACCTACGCGAAGATAATTTTTGTAAATAGATCAATGTATTTATTTTCAAATTACAAATTGCTTCCACATCGACCCACGCGACGCCAATTCAAATTTGTAAGTTGTATTTTTTTTTACAAATTTAGTTAAATTAGCCACAACGTATACTATTAAGAAATTTGACCTCGTTAAATAGTATATTAGGTGTACGCTATTTGGCAAATTATTATCATGGTATTAGCGTCAATTTAGAACTTGTCGCTAGATTTTCTGTATTACCAGTGAAAATTTAAAACGTCTGATTTGCTAGCGAAAAATCTAAAATAATTTAAATTATCAGTAAGAGATGATGCATAAAATTTATTATGACTATATTTTTGAGTACAGTAGTATGGAAAATGTTTGATTCGATAACCCATTCGCTTGTTGAAACTATATTTTTTTTATTCTTAGTGTTTGCTATCAAACGCATTAATCTGACCAGCCAAATCCATTTTAATTGAAAGGAAAAGTTCACGGCCTCAAAGTTAGTTTACATACTGTGGTGCTTTCAAAGCATCTTAAAAGAGGCGTCGTTTAAATTTCTTTATTTACACAGTTGCCACCACGCGACTCCCGCGGCAACTCGAAATCAAGTAGAATCATTTCGTGGTGTCAATTAATTGAGTATCATTAAAATAAGCGTGGCCCTTGGATATAATAAATTTCAAAAGTATAATGCAGTTATGGACCATGCGAAATCGAACAAAAATAAAAACGAACTTTTAAAAGTAAATAATCTTTACTGAAATTGGATTAATTGTTTCACTATGACAGAGGTAAACATTTTACCTAAAGGATACTCACTTCGCATAAGGCTGAGTAATATGAAATTGGGTATTTGTTACAGGAAGGATTCCTGTAAATGGGTTAAACATACTTTGCGTGTGAATGAAATTGAATATACTGTACTAAAACTATGACCGAATTTCACAGTTTTTCGCGTTAAATAAATCATTCATAACGGGAGTTGAATACATTTGTTTATTTGTATGTTTCTTCGCATAAATTACGTTTCTAAGAACTTCGGAATACAATTCATTACTGCTACTACGTGATATGCGTCATTTACGTTCCGATAAAACTATGACTACGAACGATACAAAACAAAACATGACGATCTATATTTAATGACTGGAAACCAAACATTTTTCGTAAAGTTGAATATATGCGATATAAGTTAGATTTTATTAAGCAGTGGAAAAATGACAAACATAAGGCTTCCATTTTCTACTCCAAAAATTATACAAAAACAAATAAAAACACCCAAAAACATAATATATATTAGTCATTTTTGAACTTTCTAAATAGTAGATTTTTACAATAAATAAATATGCTCGTAGTATGACGCGAAGCTGTACAAACTAAAACCTTCATAAAGTTTTGTTTCTGAGCTCAAACAATCTGACAATTCAAAAGATAAACAGCGAAACATACACCGAGAAATAGTCGAAAATAGCTCAATTAATTAATATACATTTAGAAAGCTTCATACCGTTCGTTTTGCTGCGTGTGTAGGTATCGTAGCCACCATGCTATTTCCAGTGCAGTTTTTTTCGCCACTGTTGTTCGCAGGTCTAAATTCCACGGTTTATCGTAAGCTATAATTTTACTAAACTGCCAGCTTTCAAATTCGACTAATACTCGTTATTGACTGCAAAATGATGACATGTTAGTGACTTGAGCAAATACCTATGAACAAATGACTCGAAAGTAGCAGCATTAAGTTATTTTTGACCCGGTTGCTATAGAGATAACCCCACCCGCTCGTTAAATGTCGCCAGTCGGAGGCGTAAACAATAAACAAATTCACAAAGTAAACTCAGGAAATTGAAGCTGCGACTGTCACAACTAAACCGATGATTAAATGCAATTAATTATACAATTAATTTCGTCAAGTGATTGTTGGGACGACACGTTCTGCGAAATTGGATTTCTATTGATATTGACTGGAATAATGAAAAAAAACGTAAATAGACCACGTGCATGTTTTGAATATCCACAAATAACATTTTCGTTTCTTCAAAATTCATAAATATATGTACTATCACCCTATAAGTACTTATCGCGCAGGTACAGATAAAATATCATTAATGCAATGTTTGGATAATGTCCTATTAACTACGATATCGTATTGGACTCTTGCCATTCTCATCAGTAAATCTGCCCTTATGTACTCTTATCATCTGTAACTTATTGCAAACGTTGATATTTGAAAGCAATGACGCAATACTATCAAATAAAAAAATTAATCGCCTTTCATTTTTACCGCAAAACTTTTGTCTGTATTTTAATACCGGACGTGAAAAAATAATCCAGTGGTGTTCTAGATTTTTAGCTGAGATAATTTATGCATGAAAATTTCAAGATATTTACTTGCACGACTATAACTGTCATAAAAATATTATATACCCTACATAACACCCCCCCTATTTGGACTGTTTTATTCACTTAACTGGTTTCCTGGACAAATTAAATCGTATACGCCATCCTCGAATCTTATTCTAAATCAGAAAGATCCGCCTCGAGAATAAATGAACGATTAAATCCAAGCACTAAACGGCGCGTATTTTCAATTTCGATTACACCCTTCAAGTTATGTTTATTTTTGAATTACGCCCTTCGACCCCACACAAGGTCTTTAAAATACCGTGACAAATCGAACAGATTCTGATCAACATTTGGCTTCTTTAGAAAAGTCTGTGTTTACATACCAACTGCCCCATACATGGTGGTATATTCAAAATGATCGTATTTTTAGAGTGCCATGTTTGGTTTGCACTTAACTGAGATAAATACCATTTGTATGTTGGAAATCGACCATGCCTCAACGCGCCAACGAGTATCAAAGTAAATACATAAGGATTAATACACGCTTAGACTAACAACTTGAAGCTATTTCCCGGGTTTTGAAACTGCTGGTATTTAACTACTATTAAATTCGTATAACATCAAATACGACTATTTACTGAAGACCACATGTAGACAAATGTCGATAGCACTTCGCCGCCAAATTCTGGCAAGCTTGAACTCTCCATGATATCTTTAACCTATCCCAAAATTGAGTAATGAAGATATTTGTTTGAACAATGGAGACATCAAAATTATGGTCTATCTAGAATACGGATGTGACGTACAATATTTGAAAGGGGAATTTAAATAACTATGATGTCAAAACTCGAATATATAGACAAAAGTAGTGAATCATATTCTGAAATGTCAAGTGGAATTGTTTCATATCTAGCCTTTCGCTAATAAACTGCAAATATTCGTAAAATATTGATGGTCGCATTAGTATATTACCAGCTGGCTTTACAATAGTAATTAGGGTTTAACTAGCGGGTGTCTTGTGGCTTATGACACTAAATTAGCGCTTGATTACTTGCAATAAATTATCGTAAATATTTCCAATGTGCTAATGCATACATGGCAGTCTACTTCAACCTAAGATCAAGTGTTCGGAAGTTACCAGAATCGCTAAAGCTTTTTAACCCATATCAGTAGTTCTAAAATTGATCCTCTCACATTTAGCCCTCATTTTAAAATTTCATTGCTTTTGTAAATTACACAATATTTGAAACGTTACACCATCACAGCAAATCGAGCTCGGAACTAATAAAATGATTGCAACCTACAGAAATACGAAATTCGATAAACATGGCCAAATAGTACGAACTATATCTAGTCACAAAAGAGTCAAATTCAGATTGAGCACAAAATTACAGACTGACCTCAGACCCTGCTGCAACACTTCATAGCGAATGTATAGTCTAGCACCGCTGTTTTACAAATGCAATTGCATGTTGTTTAGTCCTACCAGCACCTATTATCTTGTTTTTCGTTCCTCGCATCATTTGCAACGAAAGGATGGTTTTAACATAGAAGAGATAAATTACAAGACGGCGGTGCTACTGTAATAAAACCGACTATTCAGTACCGACGTATTAAATGTCTTCTTTCAGGTATTTCAAAGTGATACAACAGTTAACAACACATTTCAGCGACGCAAATAGGGTAAGAGCACGCTCCCACATTTTTTGTTATATAAAATATTTGAATTCAAATTCTGCACTACTATATAATAATGACGACGCAAAATTGAGTTTATAAAAAGTTATTAAATGACAAATATTTCAATGAAACTGTTTATTTCAGTACGGTTCAATATGAATCTGAACTTCCTATTTGGTATTAAAAATATCATTTGTTCTACCTGCCTTTCTCTAGTCTTATAGTCAGCCTTAAGATAATAACTGAATATATTCATAACGCAATATATTTATAGACTCTTCATCTGTTAAAAAAAAACTTAAGCTCAAATCCACTGAGTAACACATTCTGTACAATCGAGCTTAAAATTGAAATTCCCGATTCCCGCCAGCATCATTTCCTCGTAGGGAATTTTAGTGTCGTTCGTTGAGATCATTACAACAATTTTCTCTCCCAGCGGAAGTTTTATTACCGTCCTTTGTACTAAGAGATTGAAAAAATATCAGCAAAGTAGGTCAACATGGCAATATATTAGTGCGTTTATGGACAAACATATCAGTGAGGGTTCAACCAACAGTCACGAACGAAATTAAACTTATGTAGCATCACATCGAAATTCTATCTGTGAGGCAATATTATAATTTTCATATTGAAACGATGGAAGATTGACCTTGAAGCGTTTACTTTTGGACAGCGGAAGAGAATACCAGAGAAGTGCAGATTTCTTTCATCACTCTCATGACAGTATTAAATAGTATTTATTGGCTCGGCGTTGTAGCACATCGTGCTAAGCGTGCTTCCGAAAGCAAATAACCGGCTAACTAATCCCATACTCGACGTGGAGAGGCCGTGGTTCACTATATGATTAAGCCGTCTTTTTTTTCCCGGGATAAATATGTAAATCTTAGCCTACTCTTATAATATGTTGTCGGTCACATAAATGTCATGAATTTCGTCAGTACCACTTATAATACAAGATAAAATTATTCTAGAATAAAATTGAATGTCAGTTCTTCACTCGTTACCATGTGGTCGATTAGTTAAAACAGATGCAATGCAGATGTGAAAATGCATCAAGTTGTGTGAAATTGTATATTTACGACCAACCAATGATCACTAATTAATGCGTAACGAATTTTCAATTGGAGAATTATTTATTAGACGATCGATAATCTTTCTCGAGAATAAATGAGAAATCCAGAATGTTTCGAAAGCGAAATGCTAAATTTCCGCGGAAATGTCTAAATATAGACTATTGTTACAATAAAATAACTCAGCCGATCGATGGCATGTTTTTGAGATTATGTTTTTTTTTATACTTTATAATTCTTTTCTAACGAACAAATCATTTCCACAAGATTGCATGTTTCGATACATAGTTCAATATTCATAATATTTAAAAAAAAAATTTAAAGTTCCATTCCTTTACATAAAGAATTCTTTCGCTTCTTTTAGTCAAAAAGTAAACCTTATTTGATAATTGCTAACTACTTCCGTAGTATAAGTGACAGGTTAGGGTTAGGCCGTCGATTTATTCCGATTTTTCTTAAGATTTCCAGCTGAACTGAGAATATTTCAGTTCTATCACAAGTGCGTGAACTGTCTGTGTTAGCCAAGTGAATGTACCCCCTGCCCACAGGATTCAGTCCCTTTACACAACTCGATGTAAAGTAGGCGAACAACGATTTAACTTTGAACAATACATTGCTAATCTTCAGCTCATTACAATTTTTCATCTATTAACTGTGAAAGCACGCAGATTTGGCAGAAGTCTTGAATCTTCGACTCTCATTTATATTTATACTGCACATTTGTTTTTACCAAAAAATTATGAACGTAATGAAAAAGCCTAATTTAAAAACAGATGGCTCAAATCCAATTTTACAGGAATTATGTCAAAATTTATATTCGTGAAGCTGCGGGTAATTTGGACCTAAAAGGATTTAACTTTTATATAAGATTCCTTAATATTGTTACTTTGATGCCTTAATGGGATTAAATTACATCAAGGAACAAAGTTCGACTCCTGTCACAATAACACAAATTCTAATAGATTCCTAAAATCATACAACAATTTATATAAACAATGAGACATATGTCGTATGAAATGGCAATTTTTTTTTATCATGCTTCAATTCACGAACATTCTGAACACGAACATACTGCCAGCACCGTTGAGCACTGTAACCAAATTTACTAAAACGCGGTGTGTTCCAAAGCTTTAAACACTTACAATCGTCAAACAATGCACCATATTCCAACAGAGTAAAACTCAAGCGGGCTAATTAAACGACTTTTGAAACATAAGAAACACGGCCAGGATGACACAATTGCAAAGCAGAGAGGACAAACGGTATACGGAGATGTCAGATATAGCAATATATTTTAGTTTAGGTATGATAAGAGAAGGAAGATAAGAATCATTTCATCATTTCCATATTCCCACCGATAGGAATTATTCTCTGATGGATAAAATACAAACGCATTATGCAATATATAGCAAAAGTGTAAAATGAATACTAACTGTTTTTCGATATCGCCCCAGACTCATTTCGTCAGTAAAACCTTGTCGTAGATTTTTATTAGTTGAGTTCAATAAACTTCTTTGTTGGGATAATCCGTTTATGTGCAAGAGCATAGGCAATCTCTTTCTCACATTTGTGGCTCTAAATTTCCCTGTTAAAATACATTTCTGTAACAAATACACGCAAATTTTTTTTCAAG